AAAAAAAAAAAAAAAAAAAAAAAAAAAAAAAAAAAAAAAAAAAAAAAAAAAAAAAAAAAAAAAAAAAAAAAAAAAAAAAAAAAAAAAAAAAAAAAAAATATATATATATATATATATATATATGTGTGTGTGTGTGTGTATGTTTAGCTTCTAGTAGAGTGTGACCACCTAAAATATGGGAGGCTAAGATAGGATAACATTGGATAATATGTTGGATTTGGGCACATGGGGCTCGGCTAAGTGAGCGATTTCAGTGTGAACGATGTATCTCTTTGTAGATATTTGATTCAAAAGTTAGGATTTTGTTTGATAATCATTCAGATCCACGTTAAAATATCATTACTGACTCAATAGGCTCGTTGAGACGTGGTTCGAGAACGAGAATTGAATACCTACTAAGCTCGATGAGTCAAAGGTACGAACTATTATTACTTTGTTAAAGCAACCTATTTATACTCAGACTAGATCTATCTCACGTCGGATGGAGAAGGGAACGAAGCAAGGATGTGAAAACTTCTCTCTAATAGACGCGTTTTGAACTGTGAGACTGACAAGAATACGTAAATGATAGTTTTGCAAAGCGGACTCCTTGATCAACATGAGTGTGTTGTCACGGCTTCCCTACGCCATGTCCGCAACCACTCCCACGTCCCCTCATGTGTGAGTAAGAGGTTATTCTACTCCTCAAGTTAAAACCACTAACAATCCTCTCCTCACACAACGTACACCATAGAACCTTCTTTGAGCTTTATTAAAACTCAATTCCGTCTCTAAAGCCCTCAAACATACTTTATCTGACACTTCAATCCCTTTAGCTACACACTCGAGAGCTCAACTTATAAACCCACGATCATCCCGAGCTCCCTCCCATAACAATTCGAATAAAATATGATTATATATATATATATATATAAATGATATTATAAAGGTTAAAATAAAGAAGAATCTCCCATTAAATGGCCCAAAAATGAATGCCCACATCTTTACAATTCACAAGGTAGCACCGTAAGTATAATTACTCGACAAAATCCCAACTTTCTTATTTGGGGACAAATCATCAACCACCAACGAACAATTCACAAGAACATTGATCTTCCTCAGCGCCAACCCTCCGATCACCACCGTCACCGGAACTTTCACCGCCACGAGCAGAGGAATCTTCCCACTGTGTCTGTTCTGCATCAGCGCCTCTTGCATCCCCGACCCAAATTCGCTAACCCCACTTAGCAAAATGCTCATATCCGTCACATTCATCGGCGGTTGCCGGAAATTAGGAATCTTTCCGGCGCAGAGCATTGAATCATTGTAAAGAACAGAAACAGAGCTTCCTCTGCCGTAGATGAAGTCAATGTTTTCATTTGGGTTGTTGGATTCAACGATCACGATGAATTCTGTGTAAAGGCTGAAATCCGGCTTGACATTGAAGACGTGGACGTTGAAATCGGAGACTTTGTAAGAAGGGATTTTGGGTCTGTAAAACGTGACGATGAAATAGGCGAGGCTAAGTAGAACAACGATGAAGAAACAGAGGAAAATGTAACAGATACAGATGCATTTTAAACAACAATGGCCGCCACCGCCGCCGCCGGCTTTGGTATGGTATCTGGGGACGTGGCGGCGGTAGGGCGGAGGGCGGTGGCTGGTTTGGTGGTTGTCGGAGTGCATAATATTTGTGGGTTTTGGCGGGGATTCTTCCATGGGAAAGGGTGGCACAGAGAAGGGCTATATTGGCTATTGAAGTTTGAAGGGCGTTGACTGTTTGTTGGACATAGATCAAAGTTTGAGACAGGATTGAAGGGATTTGAGTGTTGTTTTAGGGCATTGTTATGTGTTTGTGGATGAGAATCAAACGAGGTTCGTCTATCTGTTTCGTGTCTATTTTTAACATGAACGAAAGTAATGGCTAGCTTTTTCCCGACAAAAATCATTACTTTGTACTATCGATCATATAAGGAGAGAAAAATATTCTTTTGATCTTTAAACTTTCGGTAACTGCCCAAGCCCACTACTAACAAATATTGTGCATTAACCTGTTAGGTATCACTGTTAACTTTAAGGGGAAGTACAAAAGAAAAGGTCTAAGGAGGACAATATCTAGTTGCAGTAGGCTTGAGTTGTTATACTTTTATAAAAGTAACCGGTTTGGGATGCAGGTAGACTCTTTAGGCTCGTTTTGAGTTAGAGTTTGGTTTGTTAGGGCACTTTTTCATCTTGAAACATCTCGAGAGAGAGACAAAGATCCTACGACTTATTCCTTAAATCAATGATGTTTCAGAGTATATTTTCAATGTTGTCTGCGACAATAATTTCTCTTCTATAACTTCGTTAGGTACCAAAAACACAGAGCAAATAGAAGGAAATGGTCCATGGCATAGGCCATTTATGATAGAGACAAATATTCATGACACTTTCAGCTAGCTCTCAGAAACAACATTAATGCCATTCATATCATATGAGGATTCAAATTTATTACCTTCTCTCTCCTCTAAAGATTTCAAATTTTCGAGTGCCCGCTTTTGGAGAATACCTTTGAAAAACCACTACGATATGATAGACAATTTTATACCGTTTGATGTATGAGAGAGAAATTATAAAAGTACCCAATAGACTTGGAATGGTCACATTACCAAGCAAGTCGATGGCATGGTCGTTCGTGAGAGCTCTGATCCTAATCTTTGAACAATCCATGGCTTGAGGATATCCCTCCATGAGCAAGCCCTCGAGGCATGTGGTCACTAGAGAACGAAAGGAAAAGAAAGGAGGAAAGGGTGGAGAGCAAATGTATAACCGTTCAAGCCCACCACTAGTAAACATTGTCCACTTTGGTCGTATCGTTGTCAACATTATAGTTTCAAAATGCATCTACCATGAAGAGAGTCTAGCTCTACTCCGACCAGTGATTAACTCTGATACCATTTGTAATAGCCTAAGCCCACCACTAGTAGATATTGTCCGTGTGACCCCATTACATATCAGCATCAACCTCACAATTTTAAAATGTGTTTGCTAGGGAGAGGTTTCCACACTCATATAAGAAATATTTCGTTCTCCTCTTATCGTGTTTATATCCCGTGATTAAGTGATTGTCAGAGAACGGATAACGATATTCTTAAAAACAAACAATCAAATTACGACAATCTCGTTGAATAATTGGTCGGGTTTTACTCCTTTTGTTTGCATTTAATGGTGCATTGATTGTTCTTCACGTTTAAGGGGACACTTTCTATTCTGATCTTGTTTTTTTCTCCTTCTTTGGTGGTGTTGCTTTTGGTAGCTCGGATTACCTGTGACCTCATCACTATAACTCAACAAAATCTTGCCTTTTGCCTGTGACTTGCTTCAATTCTCTCTCTTTTCTTTCAAAATATCATGTCTTTATATATCCTCTTCATTTCCTTTGCTTACCCACTTAAAAAGGAACCATTTTTCTTCACTTTTTACTCAAAAACCATGAAGGGTTTGCCTTGCTTCTCTCTAATCTTCATTGCTTTCTTGTTATTCCCGATACCCATTTCGTCCCGACGCATTTCTCAGCTAAATTCACGTACTCACACTTATCTTTCTTGTTTCTTACTGATATCTCACATTAGTTGGAGAGGAGAACGAAACACCTTTTATAAGGGAAAACCCGAAAACCTTGAGGGGAAACTCGAAAGGGAAAACCCAAAAAGAACAGTATCTGGATGAGTACCGGTGCTAGCAGATATTGTCCTCTTTGAGCTTCCCTCAATGTTTTTAAAACGGGTCTAATAGGGAGAGGTTTCCACATCCTTATAAAAAATGTTTTGTTCTACTCCCTAACGTGGGATATGAGATATCACATTTCTTCGGTGCAAACATGGACTAACCTTCATGACTGTTCCATGCAGGTCGTGGCCACCACCACAAGGCTGCAGTCGACTCGGTCAGGGCGGTGGAAGCAGCGAAACAGAATTCGTACTGGCCCGCGCTGTGGAGAAAAGGCCCGGAAACGGTCGAAGTAGCGGGGTCGAGCTTGCCGGATTGTTCACATGCTTGTGGCTCATGCTCGCCGTGCAGGCTAGTGATGATAAGCTTTGTTTGTGCTACGCTTCATGAGGCGGAGACATGTCCAATGGCTTATAGGTGCATGTGCAATAACAAGTCATATCCTGTTCCTTGATCCAAACCATTTCAAACCCTTTTCTACACTGTAAAAATATATTGATCGTTGCCCATGTCTTGTTTCTGTTAGTTTATTAACTGCCGAGTTAGAGTTGTAATCAGAGAGCTTTTCTCCCAACTTTTTTGGTAACTTATTAGGTATATGTTTGTGTTATTAGTTTAGGTTTCGATAAACGAGAATGAAATCGAAATTACCATTTCCAACGTTTTAGCTAGGGTTTGACACGATTAGGGACAACTGTTACGGGTGAAATTATTGATTGAGTTGAAACCTCATCAAGAGTAAAAGCCTAAAGATTAAGGACCGGTCAAGCTCGAAATGGCACACCATGAGTGATGACCAAGGATGAGGCCCTCGAGACCAATTCAGCTATAAGGGTCAGCCACGACCCTTGAGGTTGACCTCACAAGGTCAACTATCGATTAAGAAAACTAAAGTTTGAGTCTTGACTACTATCACTTAAGACCCATTTGAGAGATAGACAGATTGAGTCATAGTTCAACCTCTGTAAACGTTTTTCGTACTCAAAAAGCTATAGAAATCATAGGAAAATTATAACACTCTATTATGACGATGGTTTCTAAGTGTGAGATTCCACGTCAGTTGAAGAGGAGAACGAAACATTTATTATAAGGGTGTGGAAACCTCTCCCTAGTAGATGCGTTTTAAAATTATGAGGCTGATGGCGATACGTAACGGATCAAAACGGACAAATCTACTAGTAGTGGGATTAGGCTGTTACACTAAGCCTCCGTATAAGTACAAGTCAAAAGATGGAAGGGTACATTCAAAACACTCACATATTGCTCTCTCCACGCCTATTATTGACTCAATTCCTGACATGAACGTTAGAGTCGTAGTGGTTTATCATCACATCCTCATTAACCTCTCTCTGTTTCATAGACGCATCGCACGATTTTGAATCATATAAATTTATGGTGTAAACGTTAACCAAATTTTGATATCGACTGAGCTCGAGTTTGTTGTACTTCAATTATTGTCTGTTTAGGCTTCTAATTTGTCTAAGAATTCAAAAAAAAGCCACGAACACAAAATTGGCTGTGAAGCACTCGTCTCTCTCTTTATTCACATGACTATCAATTTCATAAACTAAGATTCTACTTCAATTCAAGAAATTATTCCACTCATGCTTTTGATATGGTAATGACAACCATGTTGTGATGACTATAATAGTATGAGTATCGTCTTCGAAATTTAAGAAAGAACGAGTATTATACTCATTCATAGTCAGCATATCAACATCATTTAAGAATAATCATTGAGAGATGTCAACTTTGGGTGAACGTTCTAATCGAATTTTCTATTTAAATGGCAGTTTTGAAACTTATTTTTAAGTACGATGTAACACGTGAAACATATGGTTTATGTTCCTGAAACCATCACTATATATGATTAAAATATTGAATGTATTAACAACTATATCTTAAAAATATGGTATTAAATTGATGGGATGAAATATTATAATGTTCGGCCTATTTTTATATTGATCATTGATGCCGTTTTTCATGTACGCAAATCATCGTCTTTCCGCAACAATTCTTATTAGTCTCTCTCTTACCCATTCTGTGTGATATATCTCGACCAAAGTTTCTAATTCATTTGGAAGGACCCCACGAACAAAAAAGAAAAAAAAATGGATTATATTGAGACGAGACAGGACTCGACAGGACGATGATTGATTGATTCATTGATTCATTGTGTGTTAGCCACGACGCATGCTTGTAAAGAAGTTGAAGTCGTGGTGTTGAACCTTTAATTGTTTTAGCCACGACTCCGCCACGCTCGACAGTGACACGAGCCTCTCTTGATCCCGACCGTTGTTGCCCGCCATCCATAGGCTCCCATGCATCTTGTACGTCACCACCCCAAATGGTGCCAACGGTATCCCTTCCCCTGGTTCCCTCTTCGGTTGCGTCGTCATTCCATTGCACTCCATCTTCTTATCTACTAACCACAATTAAAAAAAATCATATTTGGTTAAATAAATAAAAATATAAAATAATATTCAACATAATTTCTAAAAACTCAAAAATCACATGAGGTGGGCCATCTTGTCAAACAAGATAGAGATTTGATAGGACTAGAGACAAAGAATATACTCGTTGTCCTCAACCTCATTTAGCTAACACGGAGAAATCTATTCTCACTCTCTCCTTTGGTCTCTGTTTAAACAAGATTTCTCTACTCTCGGTGAATCAAGTGAACATCTATAATTAAAACATATCTTTTATCTCGAACCTCGATCAATATCTGAAAGAAGAAACCGAGCTCACGAAAACATAATACCTTGAAACAAAGACGAGAGAATATGATAAGTGAGGAAACAAGTGTTCAAGTCCTTGATATTTCTTCCCATTGGAATGTGATAAATTGGGTACCTACAAAAATGGTTCCTTTTTTTTAAAAAAAAGCAACACTCCACAAACAGAGCAACAGAAAAACAGAGGATTACCAAGAAACAGACATCCAGCTCGCTGGAGAAAGATCCACACTTCTTAGTGTCATCAAACCTGGGAATCTCCGAGCTAATTCATTGATCTAAAAAGGGTCACGAATAAAAACTTCAAAATGAATCTAAAAACAGCAGATTTGATGAACAAGACAAGAACATGAACAACAAAAACCAGATTGTTCTGTCGAAAGCACCTTATCCAGTAAAGGAAGTCTTACATACGGCGTTGATTTCTCAATGAACTCAAAGTAAAGATACCCCAATCGATCCTCATCATCTGAGGAAGTGCTTCCAGCTTCACTGTGACAGTCACTGCAAGAATCCCCTGTTTCTCCATTGCCAGACTCTGTTTTTAGCCTGAAAAACAGAGCATCCCGTTTCATAACTCTTCAAGATCCAACAATGAATCAAATTCAAAGAAAATACCTAAAAGAAGTGAAGATTTGAATGCCAGAGAGATATGGAACATAATATTGAGTCAATGATTCTCCATCGCTTAAAGTGATTGGAACTTTGGCACCATAAGCACTCCATTCAGCATAGCAGTTCCAGAGGTTACTCAAAGTGAAATACTCAATTTTTTCTCTCTCAAGTGGATGCCAGAAACGATTGAGCTTCTTGATTTCTGGCTGAAAATGGTTAAAAACAGTGAAAACCCCATTGAAATTAATGAAATGAGCTTGAAAGTTAGCTTACCTTGAGAAGGAATTGGGATTGAGCTACTGGAGTTGTGTAATGGAGGAAGCTATCCAAACAGGAAGCCATTTTTGAAGCTTAATGGAACAGAAGAGAGAGAGAGAGAGAGAGGAAGAAGATGGTTAAAGGATGAGAGAGAGAGGATTCTGTTCTTGGATGTTCTTAAAACAGTAAATTTGACAGAGTATAAGAACAAAGACAAAACAAGAAAAACCCTTTTCCCTGTCGTGTTCTTCCTTAAATCACTCGGATTCTTAGCTGGTAAAGGTGCAGAAACTCATGAGCTCATTCAAACAAGCAATTCGTTTAAAGAATTTGGACTTTTGTTTTATCCATAAATCAAGCAACCCAGAATCAAAGACTGCAAAATGAAGAACGGATGAATGCAAAAGGGTTCAAGTTAAAAGATTTTGGGACGTGGGTTTTCGTTAAAATGTTCGTTAGTCTTTTGGAACGGTTAAAATCGTTATTATCGTTAAATTGATCTTTTTGTTGTCGTTATTTCATTTTTGTAACCACGTGTGCTTCTCGAGAGAGTGATGAAAAACGGTTCGAGTGAAAAGATTTTGTGACGTTTAAAACCGTTACTATCATAAAATTGATGTTTTGTTGTCATAATTCCATTTTTGTTACCACGTGCTTTTAATGATTTTTCGCTGCATGCTATAAATGACCAATTCAAAGATTTACCATCTTATAAATCACGAACCTTCACAATAGTATAATATTGTCTACTTTGAACATAAGCTCTTGTGATTTTGAGTTTGGTTTTGGCCAAAAATGTCTCGAACCAATAGAAATATATTCATTACTTATAAATCTGTGATATTTCTCTTAATTAGTCAATACAGGACTACTTCTCTCAGTACACCATAGACCCTACCTTGAGGCTTCCTTTTTTGGAGCTCTCCAACCACCTTCCCTCTTAACAGAGACTCAACTTATTCTCTAGAGCCCTAGTTGTTCGACACTTGAGTAACATTTGACTACACTTTCAAGACTCACAACTTATTTGTTCTCTAACACTTAGTAGTCTATTGACATGATTATGTTAAGGGCATGACTCTAATATCATATCGTTAAACACAACCAAACACAAATCCTAAGAAATGGTCCAGAACCATCTATAAACAATATTCAAAAAAATTTTAGGACGGACCAATAATATAATTTTATAATTTTTTTTCGTCATAATTATCATCAAAGAAAGAGCAAAGATTAGGAGAAAATCTAATAATTGTATTAATCTCAAAGCATCAATCACCAAATTATAGAATTTTCCCCTCTCGTAAATTCACAAATTATGAACCTCCAAAAATTAAAGATGCAAATAGAAAATTAGAAAAAGAATAATTAACTTATAATTCCCTCACTTAATTGTTCATCTCCCTCTTGACAGAGCCTTCTCCGCCGTGTCCATCTCTTCCAAGATCCTGGCCTTCCTCTTCGCCGGAATCGGCGCCGTCGGTCCAAAGCTAACGTAATGCCCCGAAACCGCATTCAAAGCCGAATACATATCCCTAAACGAAGCTCGTCCCAACAGAGATTTCTCCTTCCTGTACTTCGCCACCCAAGAATTCGAACTTTCTCGAAGCTCCGCCACAGCTTCCGCCACATTCGGGTCGTTTTTATCCATTTTGATCGTCGTTCTCACCTTGCTTATCACCTCATTTGTGTCCTTCACGTACTCCTCATCGTTCGAGGCTTGTGCCGGCGCCGGAGGGAGCAGAACCCACGGCGCTGCTAGAACAGAGGCGGTTAGTGACAGTAGCTCGCGGCGGCGCGGGTGGTGGACGGCGGCGGCGGAAATGGTGGATTTGGGCTTGGGAGGGATGATGAGAGGCTGAGATTTGGAAGTACAGGGAGTTAGGAGTGCTCGAGAGGCCATGATTTTGGGGCAATTGGAGAGGAGAAATGGAACTGAAAAACAGAGATTTTTAGCGAGGAATTTGGGGAATTGGGTGTTCGCCACGTGTACTTATCATCTTATCCTATTTGTCGGATTTATGGATGAGGAATGGACCAATGAGATACGAGGTTTAGATCTTCTGTCTCTTCATCATTGGGAGAAAATGGGCTCAAGCCCATTATAAGGAAGTTGGGCCCAAGTACTAAAGCCTAGTTGTGAAGGAATTTTGATTTATTTTATATTATTGTCTTTCATATTAATAATTTATTATTGAAATAACTTTAAATAGTTTAATACAATAAATTTTGAAAATTCCTCTCCCCTAATGCAATGGTGATCGTCCCCGCTTACGCACCGAGCAAAAGAAAAGAATTTGAATCCGAAGCTAAATTTTTTGTCTCACAACAGTCATGTTAGTTCTAACAGCGGGTGCATTTCTCGACTCCAATAGTGGGTCACTTACTGTACATTTGTTAACAAAAATTTAGATAAAGACAAGAGCGTCCTTGGACGTCGACTACTTTTCAATCATTTTATGTACAAACGCATTCAACATCCAACGTGGAATTGTTTAAAGCTTTTAGACGAACGAATAGAAAATAATAATAATAATAATAAAAAAAAAAGACAAAAGCACTCCTCCTCGGTCTTTTCTCCCATCTTTTTCGAGTGAAAGTAACTTTTCACAGAGTTTTATCCGCATGGGACCAATTCTATCAATGATCATTCTTTTCAAAGTCGAGATTAAAGGAATAAAGGAAAAGGGATTTAAAGCTATTTATCTTTGTTCGTCAAAACAATTTTTTATGTTTATATTTAGATCCCTGATCTTTAAGAAAGATCAAATTTTTGAACGTTTAAATTTGTGTGTAAGAGGTGCTTGAATTCTAAAAACATCCATCAGGAGTGCTCGTGGGTTGGGTTGAGACATTTTTTAGACCCAACCCAATTGTTCGGATTGTGCAACATCTACTCATGCACTCAAGTAAGTCAGCCAACTTAGTCCTAATTGTCGTTGGCTCAAGCTACGTATGTTCAAGCCTCTAGCCGAGCTCTTGACAAACAGTTTTAGAAAATGGGTTGAAGAAAGTTCATAAAGCACGCAATCACGTCTTATAAAACTTAAGTACAACTATGACATCAGACATGCAACCTCAGACAACATGTTTTGGATAAGCACGATCATAACACAGTGGTGTTTGTTCCCGTCAAGAAAAGAAGCATAGCGGGAGATGGGTCTCTACTATTTGCACTTTTCTTCCGAGATCCATGTTGTATTTACGGGCATACCCTATTGTTTGATCGAATATTGACCGGGACGAACCCAACATGCATAGAGACAACAAGCAATCTCTTGGACCCAACTCCCAAAATTACACTGTAAAGTAGAAGCAATCCAGAAAAAAAGGAAACCACTTGCCTTGAAGAGAACAAAAATGGCCAAATGGTAAAAACACCAAAGCAAGCACGGGCAGTAGCTGACTGAAATCAAACAGAACAAAATATCTTGAATTCAGAGACCATTCTTTTCATTTTCAGCCGTTGGATCTATTTGGTGGTGGGGTTCTTCTTCATTTCACGTTTGTTTTCATTAATTATACAGATACCTCTGAAAGTTTGTACAGTTTCATTCAATTTATGGCGTTTTCAGCGCCCAAAAGGAGAAACGCTCTTCTGGGATTCTCTTAGCTTATCCAAACAACGCTTTGTTCATCAGCCCTCTCTCTCTCTCTCTCTCTCTCTCTCTCTGCCTCTTTATTTGACCTAAAATCAAAGCCACAGACCCAAGTTTGGCTTTTTCTCGTCCTCTTTTTCGTTTCCCTTTGCCATTTGTTCAACATTGCTTAATGGGTGTGTTTTTATTTGCTTGAATTTGGTGTTTTTTGTTTGGATTTTCAAGAACCAACAGAGTTTCTTTCTTTTCTCTGATTTTGGTTGTGTTTTTGTACAGATTATTAGTCGATTTTGGTGAAGAAAACGGTAGAAACCATGAAACTTTGAACTTGTAAGTGTTCTTTTCTGGATTTCATGTATGAATGTCTAGCTAAATCACTGTTTCCAGCCATTTTCAAGCTTGAAATCAAGTAAAAATTTGATGTTCTTGCTTGATTCTCTTGTGTTCATAGCTCATTTGAACAAATGAGGTAAAGGGTCTCGAGGGATTTTCTAAAAACCTTGAGATTTCCGAATATTATTATTGTTTAATGATGTTTTTCTGTCTGTCTCTCTGTTGGGTTTTTTGGTGTTTCAACGTGTTATTTGAGATCTAATCTAAAAGGGGAATCTTGTCGTTCTTATTTAGATTAGACGATGCTCTTTTGAAGCTAAGAAAATGGGTGGTTGTGTCTCTACGAGTAGCCATAGTACTAGTAGTAGCCAGAGCAATGGGGAATCAGTGTCTTCCTCATGTTTGGGAATTGAATTTCGAGGTCGAAAACGAACGAAACGAACATTCTCCGACCATGTTTACGCTCTTCAGAAGCTCTCTTCAGCTTCCAACAGGATCTTCATGAACGGGAAGAGTCGTTGTTCGTGCATTTTCACGCAACAAGGTCGCAAGGGCATCAACCAGGATGCCATGGTTGTGTGGGAAGTAAGCTCTGTTTCTGTTCTTTCATACATTGAATTGTTGTCTTTAGAGTTTCATTCTTGCTGTTTTTATAGGATTTCATGTCGGAGGACACGATCTTTTGTGGCGTGTTTGATGGTCACGGACCTTACGGCCATCTCGTTGCTCGAAAAGTTAGGGATACATTGCCTATAAAGTTGCTGTCATTCTTCCAGTCTCCTCAGTTGAAGCAAAAGAACTCTGCTCAAACATGTTTCCAGAGGAATTTGAAGACGCCTCGAGAATGTGACGATTCTGAGAAGGATCGTTTTATCGAGGACTCACTGAATTCGGTATGGAGAGATGCGTTTTTGAACTCGTATAAAGCTATGGATAAGGAGCTGAGATCACATCCTAATCTGGACTGCTTTTGTAGTGGCAGTACTGCAGTCACCATTGTTAAACAGGTTTGAGAAGAAGGATGTTCTTTTCAATCATTTTTTGTTTCTTTGATTCTTAATCGGTCGTGTTTTAGGGGTCGAATCTGTTCATGGGGTATATCGGAGACTCTCGTGCAATACTTGCTTCAAAGGATGCCAATGACTCGACTGTGGCGGTTCAATTGACTGTCGATCTTAAGCCAGATTTGCCGAGTACGTCGGTTGCTGTGTTCGGTTCTGGTATTTGATTCATGAGCTAAGTTGTGAGTGACTGATAATCATCATGTTGTAGGAGAAGCTGAAAGAATCAAAAGGTGTAAAGGTAGAGTTTTTGCATTGCAAGATGAGCCTGAAGTGTCAAGGGTATGGTTACCTTTCGACGATGCGCCTGGTTTAGCTATGGCTCGAGCATTTGGCGATTTCTGTTTGAAAGAATATGGAGTTATCTCTATACCTGAATTCTCTCATCGAATGCTCACCGACGCCGATCAGTTCATTGTTCTTGCATCAGATGGGGTAAGTTTTCTGTTCTGCTAAGTCTTGAACATAACATTTTAATCTGAAAGGAATCAAGATAATGTAGAACTGTTGCAGGTATGGGATGTGTTGAGCAATGAAGAGGTGGTTGAAATAGTGTCCTTGGCCCCGACTCGCTCGTCTGCTGCGAGGTCTGTGATTGACTCTGCTGCTCGTGAATGGAAGCTCAAATACCCCACCTCGAAAATGGACGACTGTGCTGTCGTCTGCTTGTTTCTGGACGGGAAGATGGACTCTGAATCCGACTGTGAAGAACAAGGCTTCTCATCTGCAACATTGCGGAGTAATCATTCGGGTACTGCTGTCGAATCCGATGATGGCCAGAGGTCCGAGCCATGCTTGCAAAGGAACAACACCGTCAGATCATCAGAAGATGGCAGTAGTTTTGGAGGATTACCAGTCGACGACGGGGAGACCGGTGATGCTGTACCTGCAGACGATCAAAACTGGTCGGGTTTAGAAGGAGTCACTCGAGTAAACTCGCTTGTTCAACTTCCTAGATTCTCTGATGAAAGGCCAGTGTCATAGGTTACAGGTTTGTGCAGCTACATTTTTGCCTCCAAGGCAATTCAAAACATGTCGAGTATCAGTTTCTATGCACAGAACGAAAATGAAATAACTCGACTAAACTCATCTCGAACGGACGAAGATGAAGAACTCGATAGTTCGGCTGTTCCGTTTATTAGAACAATCATTCAGAGAAGACTTGTCTGGGAACAAAAGTTTATTTAAAATGATGATAGCTTGCACATTGTTTCAGATAACAATCTGTTTCAGGAATAAAACAATAACTACTCTAATCTATCATTTCGAAGATTTGAATCTGTTTTCTTCTGTTGATCGTGTCTAGTCCTGAAAGAACAAATCAAGAAGTCGAATCATATCTCGTGTTCGAGTAAACCACTCGAAAGAAACAGTTTCAATGTTAATAACGACTTGCCTTGTCTGGTCGACTGCTCGATGAAGCTTCGTTTTCTCCTGTCGATGGCTCCGATATTCGTCCTTCGGATTTCTCATTCGAATAACTACAACGACAACAAACGCGTTCAGTTTTGATCCTCGAATCAATGTTAGATCAAAAGAGATGTCCTTGAATGAAATTTTTGATACTCACGTTGAAAGGATGGTGACCCAGATGAGCTCCACACAGTCCACCCAAAGAAGCCTTTGCTCAACAGGAATAACACCATACGTTATGAGATGAGCAAATGGCCAAAGTTTCCAACCTGCCTGTCATGTAAATGGTTTGTGGCATGCAAATGGTCATAGAACACAAACGAACTCGAACTTTATGTTAGATAAAGGTCAGAGACGTATCGTACAGTGAGCATTGGCCAAAACGTCGACTTGAGTTCACTATACACATCGGCCATAGATTCGGCACGAAGAATTCCCAGAACCACATAGTATATACTATTCCACAGAGCCGACCAGACGGTTTGATCGAACGCAACTTTTACTGGAACAACCCACCAATCTTTGAAGGGGAAGAGAACCTATTAGCCATTAAACAATCTCATTTATGCAGACCATGAAGAACTAGACTAAGCAATACAATTGAACCATAGTTATCACCTCACAGAATTGGTAGTAGTAATGAGAAAGAGATCCATGGAGAGTGAACCCAACAAGACCTGATCTGATCATGCGTGCCCTGTCGAACTCAAACAAAGGCCTCCCTTCATAGCACTGTAGGTTCATAATGTTATTGCTAAGATAGCATTGCTAGACGATAACGACAACGACAACGATCTGCAGGCGCTTACCTGAGCGATCCAATCTCCGAGAAAATAGACAATTCCACTTATCATCATTTTGGCTAAAACTGGGTTCGTTTTGAGAGCTTCTTCGTAAGCAATCCAATTGTGTTCAGGAGCATATCTTAGAACCTCATACAAGGTCCATCCCTGAGAACACATGACATAGAAATGCGATAAACGGTGTTTCAGTCTTAACAATTGTGAGATCCCACATGGGTTGGGGAGGAAAATGAAACATTCTTTATAAGGACGTAGAAACCTCTTCCTAGCAGACGTGTTTTAGAAACCTTGAGGGAAAACCCGAAAAAGACAATGTCTACTAGCGGTGGGCTTGGGGTGTTACAACAACAACGAAGCATTTATCTTCACCTGATTTACCCCTAGGAAAAGTAGATTTTGTCTTAAGTAAACCGGATTTAGTTCCCATATTACACGACATAATCTGTAACGGACCAAGCCCACCACTTGTAGATATTGTTTTCTTTGGGCTTTCCCTTTCGGGACTTCCCCTCAAGGTTTCCACACCCTTAGAAAGGGTGTTTCGTTCTCCTCCCCTACCGATGTGGGATCTCACAATCCACCCCCCTTCAGGGCTCGGCGTCCTCGCTTGCACTCGTTCCTTTCTCCAATCGATGTGGGACCCCACCAAATCCACCCCCTTCAGGACTCAGCATCCTTGCTGGCACATCGTCTCATATCCACTCTCTTCGGAGTTCAGCTTCCTCGTTGGCACATTGCCTGGTGTCTGGCTCTGATACTATTTGTAACAGCCCGAGCCCACCGCTAGCAGATATTGTCCTCTTTGGATTTTCCCTTTCGAGCTTCCCCTCAAGGTTTCTAAAATGTGTCTGTTAGGGAGAGGTTTCCACACCCTTATCAAGGATGTTTCATTTTCCTTCCCAACTGATGTGGGATCTCACAATTCACTCCCTTCAGGGTCCAGTGTCCTCATTGGTACTCCGCCTCATGTCCACCCCCTACGAGACTCAACCTCCTTACTAGCACATCGCCCAATGTCTGCCTCTAATACCATTTGTAACAATCCAACCTACCACTAGCCAATATTGTCCTCTTTGGACTTTCCCTTTCGACTTCCCCACAAAATTTTTAAAACGCATCTAGTGAGAGGTTTTCACACCCTTATAAAAGGTGTTTTCGTACTCCTCCCCAATTAACGTGGGATCTCAGGTAATCAAGCAAAAAGAACTACTCCTACTAATTTAGCGGTAAACAGAAAGCAAAATCATTGGCAAAGTCATGGATGAATGAAACTAAATGACTGAAACGAAGAGTAAACATAGTTCCAATATGCAAGAAAACTCACATGCCATAGCTCATGATCGATAGTAAGCAATTTAGTAACCAGCAAGGTTCCAACCCCCAAAACAATGGTAGCATTAACAGCTCTGCCACTGAAACCCTTCAAAACTTCCACTGCGCCCTTCTCCTCAGAGAAAGAAAAAGAAGATGCCTCAATTTTCTCAGACCCATCAAAGGATAAGCTCTGTTCTCCATCCTTCAAACGATTCTCCTCCAAACGAACCAATTCTTGGTCGTCAATGGCCGACCTAACACCCCATTTTCTTCTCCTAACAATCAATCGAACCGGTCTTGCTTTCTGATGCTCTTTGCGGAATGAAGAACTAGAATCAAATAGGGTTATGGGCGATTTTTTGAAATGAGGGATTCTTTGCGAGACGAAGCTGTTGATTGCCGCCATGGAAGACCAATAATCAGAGATTACCGATGAAGACTTTCAAAACGAATAACAAATTTAAGGATTGTGAAATGCAATATATTGAAAGGGATCAAATAATGTGATCCTAAAAGTTTCGTAACCTGAACGATTTCCAAGAGCCATGATGTGACGGCCAAATAAATGATCTCCATTAGCCACTAAGAACAAAGCGTTAGCTCATTCAACAGGCTTCTCGAATCATTCTTCTAATGGACGGTAGAGTATTTAGCCGACCAATATAGGGAAGCAATCTTCGTGGAAATGGATACTCTTCTGCCGCCATTGTTCTTGACGAAATAAAAGGGGAAAAATTGCAATTAATTTTTTTTGAGAACTAGATTTTGAGAACTAGATTTTAAATTTTCAATTTATTTTTTCCTATGCTAATTAATTTTTTTTTATTACTTTTAGTGGTAAAGTAGAAATTATAATGTGGCAAATAATTAAAAATAAAAAATTATTTACTCGAATGCTTATTGTTGACTACCTTCGACGATGATTGGTGACCCAGACAACTCTAACAATGAAGACTGAAGACATGCGAGAATTAAGGTTTTTGAATCCAATGTAGACAGCAGTTTGCTTTGCTGTTGAAGGAGGAGGGTATATTCCAGTGTTTCACTTTCATTTCGTATTGTTAAACGGAATAGATTTTGTCCCCTTTCGAGAACACTTTCTTACTAGTACGAGTTGAGATTGATGCAAATAGACCGAGCTAAAGATGTAGTTGGGTATCGACAACAAATTCAAGTGCCCTCCAAACTATGCAAAATCACCTTGCCCGTCTCCAATCGTTGTTGTTACAAGAAAGATGGTAATTAGTTGTTGAATGATTTGTTATCGTAGCAAAAGTTAAAAAGTCACGAGGGACCAAAGAGGTAATTTTGTAAATCTTTGTCCAATATCCTAAACACTAGACCATAGGATCATTTGTTATCCTACATGATCATTTGTTATCCTACCAAGTAGGGACCAAAAAAGAGAAAAAAAGGTCCTACCGAGATTTGAACTCGGGTTACTGGATTCAGAGTCCAATGTCCTAACCACTAGACCATAGAACCAATTGTTGATAAGCCAGTTCAACAAAATTATCTCATCAGGGCTTTAATCCCTTCACCCCTTTTAGCGCGCAAAACCCCCATGAGAAGAACCCTGTGGAGGGCGGCTCCATTCCTTTGCTCTTCATCTCGACGCCTTCATTCAATTGATCGCAAATCATATTCTCTATGTTAGACGAACACGATTCGGTATGATATTGAGTATAAGCTCTCATGGCTTTTTTTTGGACTTTCTCGAAATACCTCATTCCATGTAGTCAGTATTTCTCACTTATAAACTCATGATCATTTCCTAAATTATGAAACTTTCATAAATGGGAAACTTTCTTTGAAAACTCAGATTGCAATGCCGCTTGCGGTTCTCTTTCCAGTGGCTCCTTCTTTGCCGCCAACGACTAAGAGTAAGCAAGCGACCTCGTTTGCATTTGTCAAAGGTAGCTTCCGCCCCCTTCCTCTTTGCTGCAATTGATGTGAATATATGTTTCTTCAGATTCTATTTAGTTTTGTTAATCCTGATTCATTGAATTTCTTTTTACTCTTCAAAATCCATCTATGGATTCCTGAAGCTGAAGTTGATTACGCACAAATTCACTTTGATTCGATTTCCTACCCGCTCCCACCTCCCAAATGGATAGAACCTTTTCTCGATGTTTCTGATGTAGTTTCGAGCTATCAAGTTTTGAACCTACTTGATCGGCCTTCGAACACGGAAGCCGATTTCGATTCTTTTTGTCGCAAGTTTTTCATCAAGTTAATGCCAAATTTGTTTTACAGTATGTTCAGCTTCGTGATTGGAGGATGCAACGGAATATTTTGAACTTCGTAGAAATAAATTAGTGGGAATCAATGCCATGTTTTATACGAGTTTAGTTGATGGCCTTGAAGATGCAGACAATCTATTTGAAGAAATGTTCAAGTGCTCGAGATTCATATTGTTGCAAGGCCATTATGGATTCTCTAGCCAAGCATGGGAAGATCGATAAAACAGTTTGTTCATACACAATTCTTATTGATGGGCTGTTCAAGGAAGCATATAACTGAAGAGGCGACCACCCCCACTGTAGCCTCTTTCCGAGCTCTTGCCATGGGGTATGTCTTTGCGTAACTCTCATCCCTTTGCTTTTGGTTTCTCTAAAATGTTTCATACCAATAAAAATGTATTCTCTGTTTGTAAATCCACATACATCCCCTTAATTAGCCAATATGGGACTCCCTCCTAACAATCTTCAGCAATCTTCCCTCGAATAAAGTACACCATAGAGCCTCCCAGGAGACCTATAGAACTCTCGAACAACCTCCCCTTAATTGAGACTCGACTCCTTCTCTAGAGCTCTCAAACAAAGTACACCCCTTGTTCGACCCTTGAGTCATTTTTTACTACAATTTTGAGGCTTGCAACTTCTTTGTTCAAGATTTGAGGATTCTAATGGCTTAACTAAGTTAAGGGCATGACTCTGATACCATGCTAGGAATTCACAACTTTCCACAATAATATAATATTGTCCACTTTGAGCATAAGTTCTCATGGCTTTGCTCGTTTCTCCAAAAGACCTCATATCAATGGAAATGTATTCCTTACTTATAAACTATGATCATCCTTTTAATTAGTCAAGGTAAGATTCCCTCTTAATAATTCTCGACAAATTACCTCAAGCTTGCAAAATCTTGGATGATCTATCTCCAATGGGTCTCTTTCCTGAGACAGTATTTGAGGACATGATCCACACATTGTGCAAAGCCCGACGCATCAAGGAAGCTTGTAAATTGGCAGATGGACTCGTGGATCGGGGTAAAGCTTATCAATGCCTCGAGGAAGGCAGGTAATTCTGGGTTAGCCATCAAACTGATGCTTAGTAAGGTTGGTATAGGATATGATAGGATGGATTGTTCTGATTGAAATTTGAATTATTTCCAGCCCTGATGCAAATATACTCATTTTTATTTGTTATTTTCATGCCTTAGGCCTAGTTCAGTTCATGGCTTGAATACAGACTTTTGAGGCTGACATTGTAACGCGCCAAATTGTATAATATCTGCTAGGGATAGACTTGGGCAGTTATAAATGGTATCAGAATCAGACATCACAAGGACGATGGGCCCAAAAGAGATTGGATTGTGAGATTCCAAATTGCTTGAGGAGGAGATTGGAACATTCTTTAAAAGGAAGCCTGATACTTAATGAGCCAAAGCATTATCTGCTAGTAGTGGACTTGAGCGGTTATAAATGGTATAGAGTCGGACACGGGACAATATGCTAGTGAAGACGTTGAGATTAAGGGAGATGGATTGTGAGATCCCACAAAGATCATAGAGGAGATCGAGATATTCCTTGAAGGAAAGCTGGAAAGGAAAAGTCGAAAGAGTACAATACCTGGCTTGGACCAACAAGAAAATTTCTTAGTTTTTATCGGCAGTGGAATAAATCCACTGTTTTGAACCACCTCTCTCTTTTCACCCGATTCCCTTAACTTCGATGCAAACTGTTACAGACCTTGGAAGTTTCTGACTGTTTCGTATATTTATTCTCCATTGATCCTCATATCAAGTTTATGCAAAACTGTACCTCACACTATTGAGGACATATTCTATTTATATTGGCAAAAGATTAACTAATAGATCCGATTTCATAGGAAACTAACGAAGTAAGCCTATTCTTATGGCATGACTAACTTCAAGCTATTCTAATGGATTGACCAATTCTAACAGTCCCCTTCAATCCCAACAAGTCTTGTACATGTTGAGATTGTTACAATGTGTAGTAAAAGGAGTTTTAGACAGTGGTTTTGTCAGGATATCAGCTACTTGATCACTTGATGAAATGAACCGAACTTCCATTGCTTTACGTGCTACTTGTTCTCGAACAAAATGAAAATCAACTTCAATATGTTTCGTTCTAGCATGAAATACTGGATTTGAAGTTAAATATGTAGCTCCGAGGTTGTCACACCAGAGGCGAGGAGCCTTTGATTGATACACGCCCAGTTCCTTCAGTAATGACTTGATCCAAATCATTTCTGCAGTAAGATTCGCAATGGCCTTGTATTCTGCTTCGGTGCTTGATCTTGACACTGTAGCCTGTTTTCTGGAACTCCATGAGATTAGATTTGCTCCAAGAAATACAGCAAAGCCGCTAGTTGAACGTCGATCATCGGGACAACCAGCCCAATCAGCATCAGAAAACCCCGACAACATCATGGTTGATTTCTGAATTTTCACTCCTAATGCTAGTGTGCCTTTAACATAACGAAGAATTCTCTTCACAGCACCCCAATGAGCATCAGTAGGTGTATGAAGATATTGACACACTTTATTGACAGCAAATGCCAAATCAGGCCTAGTCATTGTCAAATATTGTAGTGCTCCCACTGTACTTCTGTATTTGAATTGTTCTTCAGCTGATAAGGGTATTCCTTGTTCTCTGAATAATTTTTCAGCAGAACCCATTGGTGTAGACATAGGTTTGCATTTTTCCATGTTTACTCTTTTCAACAAATCTAAAGCATATCGTCTCTGTGACAGTATGATACCATCTCGTGTTTTCTTGACTTCAATACCCAGAAAATACTCAAGATCACCCAAATCTTTTACTGCAAAATCTATTTTCAATTTCTGAATCAACCTTTCGGTTGCTTGATCAGAGGAGCTCACAATAATTATATCATCAACATAGATGAGCATATAGATAGTTATCTCTCTGTTTTTGAGAATAAAAAGAGATGAATCAGCTACTGAAGCCTTGAAGCCTAACTCAATAAGTTTTCCAGTCAACCTTGAATGCCAAGCTTTTGGGGCTTGTTTCAGGCCATAAAGGGCTTTCTTGAGCTTGCATATGTAATTCTTTGGTTTGGCTGAGTCTTGAAATCCTGGTGGTTGTCGCATGTACACTTCCTCTTTCAGAATTCCATGCAAAAATGCATTTTGGATATCAACTTGTCTCATATTCCAGCCCTTGGTTACTGCTAGCGAAAGAATGACCCTGATTGTTGACGGTTTGATCACAGGGCTAAAAGTATCAGTGTAATCAACACCAAATCTTTGCTTGAATCCTTTGGCAACTAATCTTGCTTTTAATCTTTCAACTGACCCATCTGCTTTTCTTTTCACTTTATACACCCATTTACTATCAATGAGATTTATTCCAGGTTTGGGTGGAACTAGATCCCAAGTGGCATTTCGTTTTAGCGCTGAGAGCTCATCATTCATTGCTCCTCTCCATCCTGGATGTTGCATGGCTTCCTGCAGGTTTCGAGGTTCAGTAGCAGTCTCTATGATCGGAGTTGTGATAGTTACAGCGCTTGCGAATTTTCTTGAGGTTTCTGAATATCTGATAGTTCCATCAGTGAATTGTTTAGCTTGTACAATGTTATTTCTCAACCTTGTTCGCATTGGATGTTGACTAGCTGCTTCAGTTGGTTGATCAGACACATGTTCATGAGTTTGGTTTTGAGCATTGATCGAACTGCTCTCAGCTTCATATTCTGCAATTTCCTCTGAACTTCTTGTATTATCTGCAGAAGATAAGCTGACACCAGACAAGTTGTCACTAGCAATATTATCAGTTTGACCATCATTCATATGGGAATTACTAACAACTGGTTCAATATCTGTAAGAGCATTTTCAGTGTAAAAACTAGCAAGTTTGGCTAAGGCTGGAAGTAGAACAGGATGATGTGGATTTGTGGTTTTGTTTGGTGGCTTAGATTCTTCAAAAGGAAAAATATTTTCATCGAAAACCACGTCTCTAGAGATGTAAATACGTCCTGTACTTCTATTTAAGCATTTATATCCCTTATGAGAAGAACTATAACCCAAGAATATGCATCTAGTAGTTCTGAAACTCAGTTTCTTGTTGTTGTAAGGCCTTAAATTAGGCCAGCAAGCACAGCCAAACACCCTAAGCATGGAGTAGTCTGGACTTTTACCAAACAATTTATGAAGTGGTGTGTCTTGTTGTATGGTTCGGCTGGGCATTCTATTTATAAGAAAGCAAGCTGTGTTGAAAGCTTCATCCCAGTAGGATAGAGGCATGTTGGCTTGAGCGAGTAAAGCAAGGCCAGTTTCTACAATGTGTCTGTGTTTTCTTTCGACTAACCCATTCTGCTGGTGTGTGTGAGGACAGGAGATATGATGTTCAATGCCTGTGGATTTGAAATAATTGTGTAACCGATGGTATTCACCCCCCCAATCTGATTGGACGGAGCGAATTTTGGTATTTAGCATAGTTTCAACATGTTTTTGAAATTGAAGGAACACAGACTCAACATCAGATTTGCATCTCAGAAAGTAAATCCAAACATAACGACTAAAATCATCAACAAAGGAAACATAATATTTGGAATTATTTACTGACGCAATGGATGGACCCCATACATCAGTGTGAATTAATTGAAGGGGTGCTGTAGATACATGCTGAGAAGAACCAAATGGCAATTGATGTGCTTTCCCTAATTGACAAGCATTACAAATTGAGGAAGAGGGAATATTAGTATCTATAGCTAAATTATTATCTTGTAGAATTCTAATGGTAATTGGAGATGCAGGGTGCCCTAGCCTTCTGTGCCATTGTTCTTTCGAAAGTTTGGCTGTCAGCAAGGCTTGACTGAAATTATGCGGTAGAACGTATAGGCCATTCTTACATCTACCGTGGAGCAGGAGTTTCTTCGTGACTCGGTCCTTAACCAAAAAATAGTTTGGGTGAAATTCTACAACAGCATTATTATCAGATGCTAGTCTTTGTACTGAAATTAGGTGCTTATTGATTTTAGGAGCATATAGGATATGTTTCAGAACAAGAGATGAACCAGAAATTAATGAATTCCCAATATGAGAGATAGACAAACCTGCGCCATTTGCAACCTGAATTTGGTCGGTGCCAGTGTAGCGTTCTCTGGTGGTAAGCCTCTCTAGGTCATTGGTGATATGATCTGTGGCTCCAGTGTCAACATACCAGTTTGTGTCACTAGTGTATCCACTAGTTGCCAAAGCTGCTTGTTTGAGATTATTTTCGGCTTGATATGCCTGATCAAATCTGTGCCAGCATTGCAAAGCATCGTGATTGGGCTTACCACAAATCTGACAGACAATGCCTGAGCTGCTTTGTGTCTTTGATGGTTGACGTCCAGGATTGTTCACAGTACGCCTTGATTGTCCATGACCACTATTTAACTGACGACTACGACCGCGACTACCTCGACCTCCATTGGCACCTCCACGAATGGATATCCTATTGACATTGTTAGCAGATGAAAGTTGCTCAAATGTACCCTTACGCAAGTGCCGCATCTCATAGCTCAGCATGTGAGCATACACGTCGCTGACAGTGTATACATCTGTTCTGGTTGTAATGCTTGTGACTAGAGGATCATAATCTGGACCAAGTCCTTGCAGCATGTAGGCGATGAGTTCTTCATCCTCTATTCGCTTGCCAATGGCAGCAAGTGTATCACCAAGATGTTTTACTTTACGAAAGTAGTCAGAAATTGTCATGTCCTTTTTCTGGATAGTAGAGAGTTCCATACGGATCTGCATTGCTCTTGCTCGAGATGTGGAAGCAAATTGTCGCTCCAGCGTAATCCAGGCTTCTCGTGCAGTGGTGATTCCAACCATCGTGCTGAGAACCTCCTCAGTGACTGATGAGTTGATGAGGCTGAGTACCAGTTGGTCCTGGGGGTACCAGACTGTGAACTCAGGGTTGATGATAATTTTGCGATTCCCTGTTTCTTCACTTGGTTCAACGGCGATCGTCTGGCTTGGTGCAGGCATGGATCCATCCACAAAACCAACAAGGTTTTGGCTACGCAAGTAGGGAAGGATTTGGGTAGACCACAGTAGATAATTTTCTTGTGTAAGCTTAACACTAATCACCTGACTGATCGACGGAGAAGACATTGTGTTGATTGGGAATGACATGTTTAACAGCAGAGGCTATGGATCTCGTGGATCTTATTTGTGCTCTGATACCATATCAAGTTTATGCAAAACTGTACCTCACACTATTGAGGACATATTCTATTTATATTGGCAAAAGATTAACTAATAGATCCGATTTCATAGGAAACTAACGAAGTAAGCCTATTCTTATGGCATGACTAACTTCAAGCTATTCTAATGGATTGACCAATTCTAACACCTCATTGTTCAATTCCCCCGCCTTCGCTTCAAACTCCTTTCCTTTTATCCATATGGGGTCTCTTTCAATTGCCTCCACCTCGCCATCTTGGCCGCCGGCCGGAAACCCACCGGCCATTTTCAAGATCTGTGTATCTTATTGCGGCAAAGATGCTTCACAGGGCACCAACATCTCAAATTGGATCGATTGTTACGACCCACAAGAAAATTCATGGAACAGAATTACTACAATCCCTGGACTTCTGAAAAACTATGCTCTTAAAGGCTTTTCAATGGTTTCGTTCGGAGATTGCATATACGTCATCGGCGGTCGCCTCTGCGAGAAAATGACGTCGGCTGACAACCGGAGAACCAGAAGCGAGCTGGAAGTCCGGCGACAGGTTTTGCGGTACAACTTGAGTTTGAATATGTGGTACGATTGCGCGCCGCTCATCATCCCTCGATTCGACTTTGCCTGCGCCGTCATTGGCGACAAGATTTACGTCGCCGGCGGGAAATGTCAGCTCGACATCTCCACCGGAATGTCGTCTGCAGAAGTTTATGACCCGACGGTGGACGAATGGCAATCGTTGCCGGAGATGAGTGCTTGCCACCACAAATGTGTCGGAGTTTCGTGGCAGGGGAAATTCCATGTCATTGACGGATTTGCCGGTAACAGTGATTACATCGGCAATATGGAGAGGAGTTCTGTTGAGGTGTACAATGGTGATGGTTCCCGGTGGGATCTGATCATCGGAATGTGGCAATTGGACGTTCCGCCGTATTAGATCATCGCCGTCGACGAGAAGTTGTTCAGCTCCGGCGACTGTCTCAATACATGGAAGGGACAGATCGAAGAGTATGATTGGAATTTGAATATTTGGAGTGAAGTCGATGGATCTCGATGTGAGGCTCTGTCGGCGACGAATTTTGTCACGATGGCGGCCGTCGGTGCTTACCTGTACTTTATTGCTGGGCGAAGGATGCCAAATCAGCCTTCTGGATGACTTCGGTTGTCCACGTGTTTGACACATCAGCGAATGGTGACGCGTGGAGGAGAATGGAGCCCGTGGAAGAGGAGGGAGTAAAGGAGCTTTGTAGCCATTGCTGCGTGGTAATTTTAAGAGAATAATTAGGAGAAAAAAAATTATATTATATATATTTTAAAATTTTAAAGATTAATATTATAAATTAAATTAAATTAATAAAAATATCCATAAAATATTTTCTTAAAAAATACTCTTTCAAAAGTTTCAATACTATTATTAAAATTTTTATAAATTTAAGGTATTTTTAAAATACTTCTAAAACTTAAAAGGGCCTTTTTAAAACTATATTGAGAGTTTGAGCGTATTTTTGAAATAAAATATTTACCGTCTCCATCTAAAACAAACAATAAGGTATTTGTGAAGGAGAGAAGTTTCTTGTAGTCTGTGCTATTTAAGCTATTTAACAACGAAAGGATTCGAATCCCTCCCCTTTGTTCGACGACTAGATTTGTTTGGTGCTCGCCACTCCCCGAGGCCAAGAATGGGGTTGAACCATCATTCCATAATTTATTGGGACAAAACCCAAGTGGATGGCAAAATGACACCTCTAGGGTATGGTTGCTTTTGTTGTGCTGTCATTTTAGATTCAAAGAGTTCTGTTTTTTTAACAAACAATTGCTACTCCCTAGCGAATGGGGACGAGTTTAGTTTTCCTTCTAGTAAGCAGAAAAAACATAATCATCACTTGCATTCGTCTTATATTCGCTGGTCTATTCTATCTTAGTGTTCGTCTGCCCCAACATCTATATAAAGGATTACGTATGGAAAATATTGAAACCGTCCTTTTAAGTAGTATCGCTGTTGTTTTTTTTTTTTTTTTTTTCAGCCTTGAACTCAAAAGATTAAACCCGAACGCTATCTAGGACCGGACGAATGTAGCTTATTTTTATTAATTTAGAAGTTATGTTAGTTAAGAAAATGGGCCAAAAGATGAGGCAAATGTGGGCCCAATTATGAAGTAACATGAAGCCCAAGCCCAACGTGTAAAACAAGCGTGAGAGAGCGAGAGAAAAGCAGGTGCACAGAAACTTGGTACATTCACGTGAGTACAAACTTTTAGACCCGGGCCCACATATCCACATGGTCCACTTTTCAGACCCACACCTGCTCCATTTCCCTCCCATCCTCGACCCGAATACAATCATTTCCGTAACCAAACAGTCAACTCCTTTAGCCCTCCCTCTTATCTAGACTGCCAAATTATATATATATATATTTTAAATCTATCGATATCTCACGTGCCGAGTCAGACACGTAAACCAATGAGTGAGTGAAACGTGGCGAAAGATGCTGGGCTGGAGACTGGTGCATGTCCATGTTGGCAATGTGGTCCCGTCAATGGCAGGTTGGATTATTGGGGTACGGTTCTTTTTCGACATGTCATACATGGGTGGCACGTGAAAGACTGAGAGGCTACTGAAATTGAACGACGAATATTTGCTGTGACACGTGTTTGGTAGCACGTGCCGTTCGCCATACTAGATCTCTATCTCTCATATATTTATACTTTATATACACCCAAAGTTTTTAAATTCTCAAATTTAAATGTATTAATTATTCTCTTTTAGTCTAAGGGGTAAGGAGTCCGATGGTGAGATCTCACACTCTCACATTGGTTTAACATATTTTATAAGGGCGTAGATGTATTTGTAACAGACTAAAGCTGACAATATCTACTAGCGGTGGAAGTAGTGGATTTTTAGTAATGAGCCAAAGCAAAAATATCTACTAGTAATAAGAGATCATATAACATATGAATAAAACAAGTTGAATTCGGGATGCAATGAATTCCCATATCTTATCTAAACATTCTCTTCATTCCATGAACATAAAACCACATAACTTTGAAAATAAGTATAGTTTTTAAAAGAATCTCTTATTTCAATGTTTACTAAACAAATCATCACTCACCCCAACAAAAAGTCGCTTGTTTTCTTTCTGAAAGCAACGTTAAAAGAGGCGCGCAATTGACTCATTCACACACTCCCATTATGTAAATAAACCCTCCAAACCATCTTAACCATCTTCTGGTCTTCCTGTGATCATATAAGCCCTCACCCTTTGTTTCTCTTCGAACCCATTTCCCATTTCTCTCTAAAACCCCCCTTCTTCTTCTTCTGGGGTTTGGTTGTAATGGGCGGCGAGCAAGAATGGGGTGACATAGCGCCGCCACTGCCGGCGGTGTTGCCGTTAAACCCAGAAAGAGAGGAGTATTGGAGTCGATTTGATGATTCTGTTAATGCGGTTTCGTTTGGGTTTGTAGCGACTGCCATTCTAATCTCTATGTTCCTTGTTATGGCCATTTTTGAGAGGTTTCTTAGACCCAGGACGGCGGCGGACATGGGCCGGCCGCCTTCTGATCTTGAAGCACAGATGGTGTTTGATGAAAAGCTTCGTTACCCATCTCCCAAGGTTCTTTTCTTCTCTTCTCTGCTACTGCATTTTAATGTTGGCCTTTATCTTGCTTGCTTTTCTAAATTCAAATAGTTTCTTTATCTCTTTCTGAGAAAGAACACACTAAATTCTTTTGGTGTCAATTAATGATGTCTTGACTATTTTTGAACAGTTTTCTTCTGAAAATTTCTGTATTATCTCTGTTTGCTTACATTAATATGATAGTTTTTTCTCATTCTAGATGTTAATGATAATGGGCCCACACCATGTAGGTAGCATGTGTTTTTGTCTCAATTGTGATAGCAATCCAACCAGGAACAAGATTTGATAGGCAAAACAAGTTCATGAGGCATTAAACTGTGTCAAGCTGCTCATGGTTTCTTAAGCATTTGTAGCTAGTGAACTGTGGGATCCCTATCGATTGGAGGGGAATAAAGTACTCCTTATAAGGGTGTGGAAACCTCTCCGTAAAGACATGTTTTAAAATCTTGAGTGGAAGCCAGGGAAAACCTGTAGAGGATAATATCTGCTAATGGTGGGTTTGAGCTGTTACAAATGGTATCAGAGCTAGACACCGAGCGTTGTGTTGACGAGAACGCTAGACCCCCAAGAAGGGTGAAGGGTGAAGGGTGTGAAAACCTCTTAAGGGTGGAGGGTGTGAAAACCTCTCCCTAATATACGAGGGCTCTAATAGATGAGGGGAACAAAGTATTCCTTATAAGATCGTGGAAACCTTTCCTAATAGACGCGTTTTAAATCATTGAGGAGAAACCCAAAAGAGAAAGCCCAAAGAAGACAATATTTTCTAGCGGTATGACATTTTGAATGAGCAGATTAGTCAATGTCGTATCAATTTAACAAGTTTTGTTAACAATCCAATCCTATACCATTAAATGCATTGTTCATATAAAAGCAAGATATAGCACAACTGTTCATAAGGTGAGTTAATTACAAACATAATCACATGCTATGTCTCCGTTTGTGATTACAATATAGAAATATGCACATATTTTGAAGTATTTATAGCTTTAATAAAGTGTGTCAAAGTCTCAGCTGTCACCATTTTCAATATCCTTTCCCTACATTCTATAAGGTATAGTTGTACCATATTAGCATGTACAGCTGAGTTTCAATTCTTTATGTTGGAAAATATACTAACAGAATAGAAGGAGAGGTCATGGATGATTTCGAATCGGCTTCCACTAGTTTGTGTCCTAATCTTGCACCTCAAGTATCATAAAGTTGTTCTCCTTTTTGCTCATAGGCCAGCTATTTTTGACTCAAAATCAAAATGGTGATCATTATTAATGAGTTTTCTTTGTTGTTTGAGGACATTTGCTTTTAATCACCATCATGTTTGATCTTGTGCCTTTTTCGTTCTCTTCGTAACGGGAAAAAGGAAAAAGAAAAAAGGGAGTGAGGTTGTGAGATCTCACGTCGGTTGGAGATGGGAACGAAACATTTTTTATAAGAATGTAGAAGTCTCTCCCTGACAGAGGCGTTTTAACATCTTGGAGGGAAAACCCAAAAGGGAAAGCCCAAAAAGGACAATATCTGCTAGCAGTGGGCTTGGACTGTTGCAAATGGTATAAGAGTCAAACACCGGACGGTGTGCTAGCGAAGACGCTGAGCCCCAAATGGGGGTGGACGTCGGGCGTTGTGCCAGCGAGGACACTTGGCCCCCGAAGGGTGGCGGACACCAGGTGGTGTGCCAGCAAGGACGCTGAGCCATGAAGAGGGGTGAACACCAAGTGGTGTGTCAGCGAGTACATTGGGCCCCGAAGGAGGGTGGACTGTGAGATCCCACATCGATTGGAGAGGGGAGAATGCCAAAGGACACTGGGCCCTGAAGGGGGGTTGATTGTGAGATTTCACATCGATTGGAGAGGGGAACGAAGCATTCTTTATAAGGGTGTGGAAACTTCTCTCTAGCAAACCAGTTTTAAAAACTTTGAGTAGAAACTCGAAAGAAAAAACCCAAAAAAAACAATATTTATTAGCGGTGAGATAATACTTTATTATCAACTGTGACTCCATTGTGACTCCATATTGTTCAACTCATTAAACTCTCTTTCTCTCTGATGAACAATATGCTACAGAATTTTCATGCATGAATTTCTACGAACAATCATTATTTTGTGGACCATGGACCCATTTTTGCACCGTTTCTGCTAAATTGTTGCAGCAATCTCAGTATCATGATAGTAGCAGCTATAATATAGTTCTTATGGTAATTAGATGAGTAATTGAGAAGCAACCTACTTTAAACTGATACACTTTTTGACTTGATTTATGTAGATGACTGTTTACGGTCGAGGAGTATCGGTATTGATGCCCGGCGAAGAGATTCCAACCTACATTGCGCACCCTGTTCCTGCACCGTGCCCTCCCGAGCCCATTTTGAAGCCTCTGCATCAACATAACTTGAGCATCTGTCCGCCTTCAAGCTTAACATCGAGCTCCAACATCAGTTGACTAAAAAAACATCACTACAGAACAAGGGTTAGGTCATGTAACAGCTCAAGCCTACTGCTAGCAGATATTGTCCTTTTTTAGCTTTCCACTCAAGGTTTCTATAGCAGGCGTGTTTTAAAAACTTTGAAGGGAAGCTCAGAAGGAAAAAACCAAAGAAGACGATATTTGCTAGCAATGGGCTTGGGTCGTTACAGGGCACCTCACACTTTGCAATTTCAGCTCATTTTGGCTTGCAACTTGACATTGTAGGTTTGAAAACATGGTGAAAGTCACATCAAGTTCAGCCAATGTGTAACTTGGATATGTAGGAAGCTGCGTAGGTTATATTTGATGCTGCCCCCACCATAGTTAAAAGAGAGGGTGGAAATGAATGATGGTTGCTAAGGCTGGGTCAGCTGCTCCTGTAATCCATGATTAGTGCCCTCATTGTTATGTTCATAATCAAATCCATCGCCTCTTTCACTGGCATCAAAGTTACAACCCAAGGTAATTAGTCACTTAATTCTCTGCTGCTAACTGGGAAAAGAAGAAGATGATCCTCATTTTAAAGTTCATCTAACATTAGAGTTAGAAAGTGAGAACGAAGCATTTCTTATAAGAATATGAAAACATCTTTTTAGCAGATGTGTTTTAAAATCATGAGATTGATAGCGATACGTAACGGGCTAAAGTGGACAATGTTCGCTAGCGGTGAGTTTGAGATTGTGATATTTTGATATTAGAGACAAATATCAGGGGGTGTGCCAGCGAAGACGCTAGGGCCACCACAGTCCACAAGGGCAAAAGGATGTGAAGAGAAATGTTGGAGAAAATTGTTGTTGGAGAGTGAGCTGCTTTTGTTGACCCAGTTGTGTGGAGTGCCGAAGACAGCACAGTCCACAAGGCAGCAGAAAGAGAGAAGGAAAAAGAGAAACGTTTGGAGTGTTAGGGCCACCAGAGAGGACATCTCCTGTGCTCCATGCATCATCGCATTACAAACAGAGGAAAAAGAAAAGAAAAGAACAATGGGAAGTTGAAGGACCATTTGAATTGCAGATCCCCATGGCAGGTTCTGATCTCAAAACCAACCAATCTTTTAATAACACCCTCAACTACTTGGGATTTTGAATCAACTTTTTTTTGGGGACCTAAGCAGTGTTCATCAAAATTATCATATTTCTCTATTAGATTCATGGACATGACTCATAATTATTGGTCATTTTCTCATTTGAAATGCATCATTTTCAATTATCTCTAATTTTCAGTCATCCAACCAAGTTTAACCAAAAAATGAGAGAATTCTCACTACCTCGACAAGTAAGTTAGGGCATGAGCGTAGTGAGAATGGACTTCCCAAAAAGTCAGCCCGAGATCGAAGTCAGCATAGAATAGGGGAAGACCCTAATGTTGTATTGGCAAAGCCAACTTCTTGAGTTGCAGGTGAAGAAGAGCGGACATGAGCAAACATAGAGACTTAGATCAGGGTTGACATCCACCAATCCACCTTAGATCTCAACCAAGAAAAGAGCGATTTTCTTTCCTTATTTATACCAAACATAAGGCATGGTATAACCCAACAAATAAGACAAAAAAAAGCACGAGAATGTAAGAACTCATGAAGTTAAAAATAACTGAATTTTTTCAAAAAAAAATTAGACGAAATTCAAGGTCAAAAAGAAGAAAAAAAAGAACTTTTTGTAAATGGACCCATTTGAAAATAATGAAACTAAAAGGAACCATTTTTTGAAGTTTCCCCATACACTACTAATCAAATCAGTCCATATAGTCTACAGAAAGATGAAACATTCAAGTGAGACAAGTGGGTTTTCAATGGATTCATTTGGGGGCTGAATTCCATCGTCTCCTTCGTCTCTTTTCGTGGTGGTCGCTATCTCTTGCAGGTCACCAGCAGCTCGTCCACTCCCTTTCATGGCACTGCTTTTCACATTCCCCCCCATCTTGTTCGTGCCTCCAACTGTTCGAGCAGCAGCTGGTGACCTCGAACGGCGCCCATGGCCGACTCCAGATTGCTGCTCGTGCCCTCCACTCAGCTTCTTCCTGGTCCTCGCTTCTCTTGATTCTGTCCTTCCCTGTGTGTTCCTGCAACTAACACGACACCTCTGTTCTCTTCTACATGATGGGTCGCCGGAATATGGACGCTTTCTGCGAATCTTTGGTGTTGTATTCCGACCAATTTCTCTGCTCTGTTTACTTGAGGCATCGTCGCCTTCTCTTTGCTCTGAAATGGTGGTCGCCATTGACACGCTTTCGCTCATATTGCTGCACCATTCCGTAACCTGAGATGTCTCTGAAACTGAAGGGACCCCCCTTTCCTCCAGCACAGGAGACTTGTCTTCTTCAAACTTTGGGACTGGTTTTTGCAGGTCACATGGCTTGGAAATGGGAGTCTCTAAGAGGACTTCTTTGACGGTTTCGTCTTCCAGGGTTCCATTTCCGGGGATGTTTTCGACATGGGTGTCGATGGACCCCGGTAACGGACTTCTCATGGGACAATGAGGCTGACCTCTGTCTAATGTTCTGCTAAAGCAACAACCCATGAGAGTGGTGAGTGTGGGAATGGAGATGGAAGCTGAATAGATTAGGATGTTAGGATTTGAAATTTTGAATTTAACGGTTGAGGGAAGTGAATTTGGGTGGGAAAGGAAAGCCACCAGGGCGAGAGAGTGGAGCTATGGCAAAGCTTGGGAGTGAAATGGCTCAACGCCCAGTAAATGGAGAAGATACCAACTGTCAATGGAGTGTTTTTAACGAACTTGTCAAATTGTTATTACCACTCATATAAAGGCACTATACATCAAATTGTAAAATTATTTTTACCGATCATATAAAAGCATTATAAGTCTCTTCCTAACCTCAAATTATTTTTACTATTCATATGAAGGCACTATACATCTCTTTCTAACCTCAAATTATTTTTACTACTCATATGAAGGTAATATACATCTCTTCCTAACCTTATCTGTCAAAATGTTTTTACTGCTCGTATAAAGGCACTATACATCTCTTCCTAACCTTATCTGTCTTATCTGTCAAAATGTTTTTACTGCTCGTATAAAGGCACTATACATCTCTTCCTAACCTTATCTGTGAAAATGTTTTTACTGCTCGTATAAAGGCACTATACATCTCTTCCTAACCTTATCTGTCAAAATGTTTTTACTGCTCGTATAAAGGCACTATACATCTCTTCCTAACCTTATCTGTCAAAATGTTTTTACTGCTCGTATAAAGGCACTATACATCTCTTCCTAACCTTATCTGTTAAAATGTTTTTACTGCTCGTATAAAGGCACTATGCATCTCTTCCTAACCTTATCTGTCAAAATGTTTTTACTGCTCGTATAAAGGCACTATGCATCTCTTCCTAACCTTATCTGTCAAAATGTTTTTACTGCTCGTATAAAGGCACTATACATCTCTTCCTAACCTTATCTGTCAAAATGTTTTTACTGCTCGTATAAAGGCACTATACATCTCTTCCTAACCTTATCTGTCAAAATGTTTTTACTGCTCGTATAAAGGCACTATACATCTCTTCCTAACCTTATCTGTCAAAATGTTTTTACTGCTCGTATAAAGGCACTATACATCTCTTCCTAACCTTATCTGTCAAAATGTTTTTACTGCTCGTATAAAGGCACTATACATCTCTTCCTAACCTTATCTGTCAAAATGTTTTTACTGCTCGTATAAAGGCACTATACATCTCTTCCTAACCTTATCTGTCAAAATGTTTTTACTGCTCGTATAAAGGCACTATACATCTCTTCCTAACCTTATCTGTCAAAATGTTTTTACTGCTCGTATAAAGGCACTATACATCTCTTCCTAACCTTATCTGTCAAAATGTTTTTACTGCTCGTATAAAGGCACTATACATCTCTTCCTAACCTTATCTGACAAAATGTTTTTATTGCTCGTATAAAGGCACTATACATCTCTTCCTAACCTTATCTGTTAAAATGTTTTTACTGCTCGTATAAAGGCACTATGCATCTCTTCCTAACCTTATCTGTCAAAATGTTTTTACTGCTCGTATAAAGGCACTATGCATCTCTTCCTAACCTTATCTATCAAAATGTTTTTACTGCTCGTATAAAGGCACTATGCATCTCGTCCTAACCTTATCTGTCAAAATGTTTTTACTGCTCATATAAAGGCACTATACATCTCTTCCTAACCTTATCTGTCAAAATATTTTTACTGCTCGTATAAAGGCACTATACATCTCTTCCTAACCTTATCTGACAAAATGTTTTTATTGCTCGTATAAAGGCACTATACATCTCTTCCTAACCTTATCTGTCAAAATGTTTTTACTGCTCGTATAAAGGCACTATACATCTCTTCCTAACCTTATCTATCAAAATGTTTTTACCACTAATACAAGTATAAAGGCACTATACATCTCTTCCTAACCTTATCTATCAAAATGTTTTTACCACTAATACAAGGGCACTATACATCTCTTCTTAACCTTATATATCAAAATGTTTTTTACCACTCATAAAGGCACTATACATCCCTTCCTAACCTTATCTCTCAAAATGTTTTGACCACTCATATATAGGCACTATACATCTCTTCTAACTTCATCTGTCAGGAATGTTTTTACCACTCATATAAAAGCACTATACATCTCTTCCTAACCTTATCCTTGCTTGAGCATGATGACTAGAGAAGAAAATTACCAGTGTCTTTATGTCGACTCGATCACTATCCAACCTGCTTGTGCATTGGCATCCAAAGACTGAGGCTTTATCTATGAACAAGTAAGATGGTAAAATCCATAAAAAAACAACCAAATAAAATCCAATTTCAACATTGCAAGAATAATACAATACCTCCCATGCTGAATAGCAATAACAGGAGGAAAGGGAAACGTTAGTAACTTATTATATAAAGCCAAGCAAAATAATATACATCTACAGCAGATCAAGAGCGTCGGAATTGACAAATGAGTGGCCAAACCAATCAAATAACAAGTTCATTTTTCAAATATGTTGAGCTTAAATGCAACATGGTTGCTTATGTAGGGATTGTCGGAGACAGATGACCAAATCAAGGTTGTGTAGGATGTGAATTAGAAGCTGCCCGATCTGATTCAATCATTGACTTGATATAGAATTCTCCTGCCTTGTATGAGGACCTAACCATTGGGCCAGATGCCACATACCGAAAACCCTGTCACAACCAAACAGAAAATGGATTTTCAAATCATTGTTGTATCCTCAAGGCATGGCAAGTAACTCCATACATTAAAAACTATTGATCATGTGATACTTGATGGAGGAGATGAGGATTATGCATCACAACATGAATTAATATACCTAAAAGTAAAGCATCGTCTCCCCGAACAATTTGAATATAATACACATAAAACTACAATGGTTGAAATGGAAGATGGGATGGTATAGGAAATGCAAATCAAGACTATTCGCGAGCTATAAGAATAACAAAGATGGGAATATGATACCATGCTAGAAATGAAAAAAAAAAAGTAGTCTTTAACCTTTAAAGACTTAATTAAACAACAAAGAAGACAATAAACGCAAACAAAATGTTCAAGTAAAAAAGAGAGAGTACCATTTTCATGCCAAGATTGTGATACTTCTCGAAAGCCTCTGGTGTAATGTATTCTGATACAGGCATGTGGCGCTTTGAAGGTCTCATGTACTGACCAAATGTCATCACATCAACTCCAGCAGCTCTCACCTTCTCCATTGTTTGCACGACTTGATCTGGTGTTTCCCCACAGCCTAACATAATGGAAGTCTTCGTAAGTGTTCCAGAAGGAGCAAACTCTTTTGCCATAACTAGAACATCTAATGATTGCTTAAAATTAGCACGATGGTCCCGAACTGCTCCCTGAAGCTCTTCAACTGTCTCTATATTATGAGCAAAGACGTCAAGGCCCGACTTTGCAACTTTCTCTACACTGCCAGGGTCCCCTCGAAAATCAGGGACTGCAAAATCAATTAGTTCAAGGAACATCAAAGAACAGATTAAATCAAACTGGACAAAAGTAATCAGAATCAAACGAGCCTATGATGCTGATTTTTGTGACTGCACTTACACACGGGTAAGTATGTAGCTTTCACTAAATTTCTAAGCTGGATTGGATGAAAACAAGATAGAATAACTCTCCCAAAAATCAAGTGTCACACAAGAATCCTTAAATGTAACAAGGAACGGGACACTAAGGAAACTGCTAGGGAATTCATACCCAATGCTTCGATCAACATATTTGGCTTCAACACCTTAAGTTTCAGCACGGTCTCTGCAAAATGACCACTCCCCTGATCAGGTAAATCGTCGCGATCCACACTAGTGATAACCACATAATCCAACCCCCATGATGCGATTGCCTCAGCAACATTTTGCGGCTCATTGGGGTCTGGTGGAGGTGGAGTTCGTGATGTCTTCACGTTACAGAACCTGGAGTGCAAATAATCCGAAAATAGCAAGGAATGAATAGAATTCTAAGTGATAAGATGATATCATAGTAATCGACAAGATCATTTCTATGACAAAAACAATTAGAGATTTACATTCCTCAGTAAATTATATACACTATGCACAGCACATACGAGAAGATATCATTCTTCAATCATCAAAAACACTGGAAATTAAGTAAACACAACGAAATGAATGAGTAAATTGAATTATGACTAGCCTGCAGCCCCGGGTACAAGTGTCTCCAAGAATCATAATCGTAGCAGTGGCCGTGCCCGTTTCTCCACCAGACCAGCATTCCCCCAAATTAGGGCATTTAGCCTCCTCACAAACCGTATGAAGCTTCAATTCGCGGAGTTTCTTCTTGATTTGAACATACTTCTCGCCACCGGGCACCGATTCCTTCATCCATTTAGGTTTAGGAAGGGGCTTCTTCTTCGTACCAACCTCCACGGAATACGAATCAGAAGATTTCAGGCTAACAAAGTCAGAAAGCGTGGGGGATTCGGCGGCAAGTCGTTCCCGGAGTCCGGCCAAAGTCCGAGGGACTTGGGAGGAGGTAGCAGAGGCGGAGGTCGAGGAAGATGAATAAGATAAGGACCTGCCAATGGATTCGAAGATTCGAGCAAGGCTATGGCGACGGGTGTTCATCGTTGAGCGTGAAGAAAGCCTCGCCGGAATTTGGATGGCTCCGAATTTATTTGGACAGTTGAAGGACGGTCGTTCGTAAGGCGTTCTCAGCCAAGCCCCAAGAGTCGAGACCCCCACCAATTAGAGAAATTAACACAATTACCCTCCTTCAAAACCCCTTTTGGCTTTTGTTATTTTACCCTTTCATGTCCATTTCTTTGTCTACACGATTATAGCTATTTCCGAGTTGTAGTTGCCTACAAGATTATAGCTCTCGGATTACCTAAATGAGCTGAGACTATATCTGAATTAGAATGATCATAAAAATAAAATGGTTGTGAAATACTTGAAAGAATTGAAGTTACTGTCTATTCCAGTTTTCAATCAATGCACAATTATAGTAATTTCAAAGTTTTGCCCAAAAGAAGAAGGTCAAAGAAGACAATATCTGCTACTGATGGACTTGGGGAGACACTGGGCCTTAAGGGGTAGTGGACACTGGGCTCTGAAGAGCGTGGATCAAAGATTATGAATTTATTAAGTAAATGTTTGGGAAACCAAAACCAAAGTCACGAGAGCTTATGCTCAAAGTGGACTATATCATACAATTGTGGAGGGTCGTGATTTCTAACACAGATAACGTGATCATGTCGCAGAGGATGTTGATAATTCGATTATTTACTACCTATCTCGTTAATTTTAAAATAGGTTATGGTTTAAATTTCAATGGATAAAATAGATATTTGTTTGATATATTTAATGATATGTTAAGTGGTTTGGAAATATTAGAGTATTGATTCTCTAAAGGCCAACCTTTATCCAAAGCATTGATTCTCTGTTTTTTTTTCTTAGATAAGTTTTAAATTTATTCTTAAATTTTTATTAAATTTAAACTTAGGTTAAATTGGTGAAATATTATATTTCATTATTTTAATAATTTATATTAGAGTGCATTTTAAAGAACATAAAAAAGTCGGGTAATATTGATTATTGTGAGGTATTAATGCGGTAGAGATGAAAATTACCCTATGAATGGAGCTTATTGGGCCTGCCGCTGGATATTTGTGGCCCAATTTAGAAGTGGGCTTAGTCCATGAACAATGATTTTTTTTTTTTTTTTTTTTTTTTTTTTTTTTTTTTTTTTTTTTTTTTTTTT